TGTGCACTGATTATCCCATTTTGTTATCTAATGAGTTTATCCAAGTGCCAATTTTCAGGACCACAGTTCATCCCAAGTTTGGGGGGGCCATGCCAGCCACTTTGGATACTTCAGTCCTGAGCATTCTTACTTAGTTGCACTGGTATACTCTTTCATTTATTCTCTTGCACATTTAGGACATTATGCCATTTAAGTTTGGGGAGAATGGTGCTTTACAGTGTTAGTTTTAAATTCAAAATTTTAAGCATGACTTGTGTATTTGAGGGATATTTCTATGATTGGTCCATATATAGCTATGATTTTGATCTTTTGAAGACTATATTACTTAAAATTTAAAAATTGTTTGACTTGAGGGTCCAATACTCCTTGTATGCCTTATGAATACCATTTAGGAGTAAATTTTTCGAAAGATTGATATCTTGCTTGCACTTGTGGTCCACATCATCCTAATTTTGTGATTACTTTGCGATTCATTCTAGGATTCTAAACTAGTACCGGCGCACACTAGCATTCATTTGTGAGGTACAAGCTTTGTTGATTATTGAATTAGTTATATTCTAATTGGACTAGTAGTGCATTGAAAGCTTTCATTCTTGATAAAGGTGGATAACAACCCTTTTTCACTAAGTAACCGGGATTCTAGCCTCATCAAGCACTGAATTTCTTGCGCCGAAAAGTGGAGGGCCCAAACTCTAGGTTAATAATTGAACTTGTTTAAAAAAAAAAAAAAAAAAAAAAAAAAAAAAAAAAGTGTGAGGACTTCTCCCAAAAGGTGAGAAGTGGGAAATGATTAGATGGTTATTGTCTTGATTTGTAGCCTAGTTGATTTAAGCTTGTAAGTCTGTAGGGGTGTTTGAACACTTAATGCCCTAAAGCCGTTTGGTTTGGGAGTCATTGACCTAACGCTCGACCTCATGAATCGCTAGAAAGCTTAATAGATCAACATATTGCACCATGCTTCCATCTTTGATCCTAATCAAAAAAAAAAAATTATCGAGTGAAAAGAATAAGCGCACATAGAACAATGAAGCTTTAATAAAAGGTCCACTTTTTGTCTTGATGATCGGTACTAGATTTGTGTGCTAGTTTGAGGGTAAGGATGTGATTAATTCTTGTTGGCTTAGATAGCAACACATTTGATGCCGGTCCACTTAAAAGGATTCTAGAGTTATTTTGATTTGCATGATCATTTTCTTGATGTGTGGAGGACCATACTTGCTTGCTTGATGTTAAAATTTTGGGAGATTGCTCGGAAATGTTTGAAAAATTCCATACTTGAAGTAGTTTTCTCCCAATACTTGTTTGCAATATTGGTGCCTCTTTTGAAAGAATGAGCTTAATGTTTGTGGGTACCATTTCTGGAAACCCTCACGAGACTTCACTTGTCCACTAGGGGTAACCTAGGGGTTTAAAAAGCTTGTTACATATGCTAAGTGCAATCGTGTTCCCTACGAAAGTGGCATTATCCATTTATTGTTTTCTAGTTCATAGTTGTATAGTTATTCATTTCATTTCTTTACTTTCTAGTTCATTACTAGGGACTAGTAATATTTAAGTTTAGGGGTGTGATGAGTGCTGAAAAGTGCGTATTTAAACCCCTTAAGCTTAGGCATTCTAGTATGTTTATCTATCTTACTTTATCGTTTTAGATTGATTTCGTATTATTTCCATTTTCAGGCACTTATCTTGAAAATAAGCTAACTCAACCAAATAGGAGCTTAATTGAAGCAATTCTGGGATTAAACAAAGAAAGCAGCAAAGTGGAGAAAGAAGAAAGCAAATGAAGCCAAAAGTGGGAAGCAGCAAAGTTCGATCGATCTAAGTTCAAGGTTCGATCGATCGAACAATGATCGATCTTAGCACTTCAAGATAGATCCAAGCCTTGGCCCAAAAGTATAAAGTCCAAAAGTTCGATCGATCCAACACCATCCTTCGATCGACCTTATTCAAATAATTGATCCTATCCATAGCTATACCACCCACTAACCACTTTTGTCCTTTTCCCATAAATATCTCCCCAAAATATCTCGGATTTGTCTTTTCCAAAAAGCTTAACCAGTTGGATCGATCCAGCCTAAGTTCGATAGATCTCAGCCAGTTCGATCGATCGAACTTCCTCAAGTGCGAAAAAGTTAAAATTCCAGCTTGTGCAATCCGTCCTCTATCCAATCATTAGAGAATATTCTTTGCACGACCTCAGCTCATTTTGTGTGCCACTTGACCTACCTATAAAAGGAATATGATGCATTTTTCGAGCATATAGACTATTCTAGGGTTTAATCTCTTGGAGAGGAAGTTTAGAGGAGGAGGAGGCTAGAGACACCATTGGAGACTCTTCATCAACCAAGGAGCAAGCCTCTTCCATGGAGTTAGCCCTTGAGGGTTGGAGCAATATCACCATGAGTGGCTAGACATCCTCTTGGGGCTAGAGTTAGCCCCAAGCATGCTTTCTTTATTTTAATCTTGTTTATTATTGAGGGATTAGTGTTGTAATTGATGTTTTGACACTTTAATATATATAGATCTTATTTATTCAATGATTTATGTGGTTGAATACTTCCAATTAATCATTTCATTCTATCCATATGTCTATGTATGCTAGAATAGATGTTCATGTGCTTGTCTCTAGATTTTGTGTTATTGATGCATGTCTATGTATATTGATGCTATAGATTTAGAGATTGTCAAAACATAGTGCTTAAAGGAATGCTTTTGTGATTCTCTTGATGGTTCATACTTATTCCTTGATGGATTATGCCTCTCCCCTAATTTATTTTCATGCTAGTAATGTAGATGTAGTGTAGTTGTAGTGTAGTGTTAAATGGGAGGACAATACATGCTTGTTGTTTGATGTTTCAACCTTTTGAATGCAAGTAGCATATGTCTCTATCCTTGTGTTGTATTTGGATTGTGAGCTTAATGAAATGATTAATGACTTGTTTTGATCTATTGTGCCTTTCACATGTTATTTAGACAATATATGCTTCATTGCTTAGATATATTGTGCCTTTCACATGATGTTTAGACAATACATGCTTAATTAGTCATCCTTGCTTGTTGAATCAACCAAACACACACACACCAATATTGCAACACAACATTTGCCCTCATTAATCACTTGTCAATGGTATAGAAATGTATTACTTGGTGGTGATCTCTAAACTCCAAGATTTCTCTCTCTTACTTACTCTTAATTGCATGCTTTTACTATCACTTAGTTTAATTTAGTTGCTCTCTAATCATTCAACCAACCAATTGTTTGATCACTCGACCTACTAGCCCTAATAACGATTCCACGACATTGCTCGATCCTCACAAATCCCTTGGGACGATCCCTACTCGCCCTAGCTAGATTTATAGTGAAAGGTAGTAGTGGCTTCTATAAATGTAAAACTCTTGGCCCTCGCCTTATAATGCACACACTCTTCAAGCTTGACGGTGGTGCGGCATCGCCACGGTCATGAGTACTGAAAAGTGCGTATTTAAACCCCTTAAGCTTAGGCATTCTAGTACCTTTATCTATCTTACTTTACCGTTTTAGATTGATTTCGTGTTATTTCCATTTTCAGGCACTTATCCCGAAAATAAGCTAACTCAGCCAAATAAGAGCAAAAATGAAGCAATTCTGGGATGAATCAAAGAAATGAGCCAAGTGGAAGCAAAAGGTGGAATTCAACATCTTCGATCGATCTCAGATCAAAGTTCGATCGATCCAACATAATCGATCTCAGCACTTCAAGATAAATCTAAGCCATGATGACATTTTCAAAGATCTCAAAAGCTCGATCGATCCAACATCATTCTTCGATCGATCGAACTACCTTGTTCATATCCAAATGATTGATCTTATCTAGTTGTAATACCCTACCAACCACTTTTGTCCTTTTCCCAAAAATATCTTCGAAATATCTTAGATTTGTTTTTATCCAAAAAGGCGCCACCATTGAGGATCGATCCAACTTCAGTTCGATAGATCTCAGCTATGTTCGATCGATCCAAGTCCAAGGTTCGATCGATCGAACTTCCTCCAGTGCAAAAAAGTTAAATTTCCAGTTCATTGAAAGCTGTCCTTATCCAATCATTGGGGAATATTTTTTGTGCACGACCCCAGCTCATTTTGTGTGTCACTTGACCTACTTATATATAGAATATGATACACTTTTTGAGAAGGATCCATCTATCACAATAGAGGCTATTCTTAGGGAGGAAGAAAGGAGGAGAAGGCTAGAGACACAAGCTTGGGAACTCTTCATCAACCAAGGGGTAGATTTATTCCATGGAGTTTGCCCTTGAGGGTTGGAGAAGCCACTACAACAAATTGGGCTTTTTGCGACCAAATTGTTGGTCGCAAAAGGTCAAAAATTGGTCGCAAATGCCCTTTAGCGACCAAAACGTTTTGGTCGTCTCGTGGTCGACGATACCTGCGACGCGGATAGTTTTTAGCGACCAAAAAATGAATTGGTCGCTAATAAGCCCTTTTTTGCGACCATTATATTATCGACCAAAATGAATTTTAACGACCAAATTATATAGTCGCAAATCGTGAACGCTTTTGCAACCATTATGATTAGTCACAGATGAATTCCCCTTTTGCAACCATTATTTTTTGTCGTAGATGAGGTGCCCTTTTATAACCATTATTTTTGGTCGCAGATGAGTTACCCATTTGTGACCATTATTTTTAGTTGCAAATGAGGTACCCTTTTGCGACCCTTGTTTTTGGTCATAAATGAGCTACCCTTTTGTGACCTTATTTAATCCTTTTGTGATTATAAAATTTGGTCGCAAATCTCCAATTCTTTTGTTGTTTTTGGTCATAAATGAGCTACCCTTTTGCGACCCTATTTAATCCTTTTGTGATCATAAAATTTGGTCGCAAATTTGTAAAAAAAAAAAGAAGAAGAAGAAAAAAGAAGAAGCTAATATAATTAATAAATCTATCGACATTTCAATTTTTTTAATTTAAAATACACTAGTAATTAAATACCATTAATCACATATAGTAAAAACTAAAAAAATAATTCAATTAATTATTTCAAATAAAATACATCCATCACACACCGTATACATATATCAGTATGGCTTGTCCATGAAAAAAGAAAAACTATTAAATACATTCATGTATAGTATTTCCATTCAATCTACCAATGATATGTACATTTAAAACCTGCTAATAAACTATAAAAGAACTAACATGTCCATAAGAAAACAAAATATGAACTAACTACTAAAAATATCACTTTGCTCAGGGAATTAGGCTATGCCAAGCTTGTTCGTGATAGTTTTATACATTTGTGTCGTTTACTCGTATTGCTCCAAAGCCTTAACAGTTTTTCTTTTCGACTTTCCATACTCAGTCTCACTTTAAGCATCTGTAGACTCCCTAGAACAATAATTTTTCTTCACAGCATTCCATTTATTTGATGCAATTTGTCTTTATAACAACATTTCTCTTAGGTATGATAGAGATTACCTGTCAAGAGAAACAAGAAATTTAAAGATAGGTTATGACCACCAAATAATTCATATGATGAGCAGGCCAACACAATTTTTTTTAGAGTGTCCCAATTAGAAATACAATATCTTAAAATTGAATATGATGATTCATAAAATAATATAAAAAGTTAAAGTCATTTTATCATCAAGAATGAAAGGATGACAACACTTTAGTTGTCCTACATTGAATAAAAATTACAACTTTATTGATTTCCAATCAGCCAATACAATCGTAGTGGAGAATAAATTCCAGAATGGACACGCAAGCAAAAGAACTATTGTCCCATAACAAGAAAATATAACTTGGTCCATTCCACCAGACTCGGTCCTAGTGTGTCATTCGCAATCACACATAAGTGTAGAAAATTTATTTTTGTAAAATAAAGAATCAAACTAAATTCAGAATAAAAAAGATAAATTACAACATTTTTCCTAGTAAGTTTTTTTTTTTTTTTTTTTCAAAAAGTTTTTCACTAGGGAGTTGGTAGGATACAATTGGTAGTGTTTCCTAATAATTAAAATGTAATGTTAATTTAAAGTAAAATTGTAACATAGTAATCTTTATAATGATTTAAAGTGCAAATGTCAAATATTGATTCATAGAACTTTTAGTAAAAATGTAACCTTTATTTATTTTGTAAAAATGTCAAAATATTGATACACCTACATCCAGCCCTTTTGATTTAGCATAATCATAGTAATCTTTATACTAGGATTCGAAACAAAAATATAAACATTTCAAATATATTGTAAACTTCAAAAACTATGAATAAAGGTTGTTTAAATTCAAATTGTACAGTAGAAAATAATTTAACAGCAATCTATTGTCTAATAGGAGATGGTTAAATCAACCTTTTCTTTTTGTCCATTAGACACAGTATATATATAATTAAGTTGTAACTATATATAAAATTACACTGCAATATTAAATGAGGAGCTATTAGAATATCTTGCTTGTCGAGATTAATTTTTATCATTTATATAATGAATGGTATTGAATTGTGGTCATCTAAAATTCTTGTAAGAGAGAGCTAACAGATATTCTTCAATGGTGATAAGGAAAAGTTGTCTTTGGAAGGGTTTAAGCTAATAAGAATACGAGAAAGTAACAAGAAAGTGAATTTAAGAGCAAAGCATAAATAATTTCATTTGTACATGAAAGTCCATATTCGAGTAGTTCCGAACTACGTTTGACAGACGCATAAATTAATTTAATTGAGCTCCCTCTGCTAATTAGACAATGTTAACAACCTTATCAAAGGAAAAATATATAAAAATATATATATTGTAATATGTGTAATTGTGTACATAATTTCCAAAATAAGTCTTTGTGTACACACATGCCGGTAAAAGACAGGTATAAATGATGGACTTCTGAATTTTTTATTTTAAAAAATAAAAGAATAAACAAGTTCTGTCTATAATTAATTAGAATTGAGGGTTGTAAAGTCTTTGTGCTAAGAATTCCACAATTTGGCAGGAACTGAATCCTGTGAAAATCATAAATGGATTGCATAATATATGAAAGGTTTTTGTCTAATTTAATTTGTAGCATTATAAGACCATAAGCCCCTTATAAGCATTCTATCTAAGATGAATTCAGGTTATTCAGGTTATGCTTTTATTATATGTATAGATGAAATATTAATTTTAGAACTTGAAGAAACAAAAGTACTTCAATTATTTCTAAGTTCTAACTCACTTTATAGTCCAGCAATGACTTTTTTAGGAGCATCAATTCAGTAAAGAGTAGGATAAAAGGCATCAATGCAAGAAAAGCACGCCATTAATAGGAACAACCAAAGAAGGACACCTTGCCATAAATGCAATTACCATAGTCTAGCTTCTTCATCTGTTTTACTCCCACTTAAAAAAATAAAATAAAAAAAGGTCCCATTTTTACCCACTTACTAAAATTTGAAGTACTAGTCACATTTAGAGTAAGTCAATGAAGATCACATAACAAGAAGGTTAAATGGCTTTCTATATAAACTTCAGAGAAAGCTATCTAAGAATTTTAGTTCTGAATCAAAACAAGACAAAACAACGGCTAAATATTCAGTGACAACTTGGAGCCCTGCAACTATTGGTTGGGTTTGGTCTCTTGATTTGTATGTCTGGGTTTTGTTTGTTGTTGACTCCTTCATATTAGATTTAAACAAAATCACACTAAGCACACTTATACACGAGTCTGCAGCTACACTTACATCGTTTCTCTTCCCATTATAAACCCTATGTTTCAGCGATAAGCAAAGCAGCAACACAAAGACGCAAAATCAGAGAGAGGCAAATACAGCTTGCAAACCAGACTTCCCTAATCTATTTCATCCCTAATATACATTGTCATGGAACGCTACTAGCCAAAATAGAGATCTTTCGAGGAATATGTAACAACATATCGATGAGTAACAGGAGGTCTTCAACTAATTGTGAGTTTTATTTTGACTTTCTACTTTCTTTTCAATTCTAATGTTGTGAGTTAGATTTTGGGAATAAAAATCTGATGGCGAGATTGAGGCACTAATTGGGTTGTTGTGTTGAATTTGGGTTTGAATTCATTGTTTTCATTGTTATTTGATATCAATCACCACAATTTGACACATTTACAATTTATTGTTTCTGCTGAATTTGGTTTTTTGGTTGCAATGTAATTATGGTTTGTGAACGGTAGAAGAGAAATATGCATTTTTTGTCTTTGTTTTGTTACTTTTCTCAACTGGAAATAAAAAATAAAAACACCTTTCTCCCCCACCATTAGTCTATGGCCATATATGCAGTAAATCAAAGAGGCAGACCTCTAACTTGGCAATGGAGTAAAAGTTCTTTCTGTAGTAACCCTATAAATAGCAGGAGTTTGCACTGGGGTGCACATAGTCGAACCTAAGAAAGCACCTCAGATACAATATACTAAGAAACCCGGCTCTCTAGAACATTTCACCAGAGATTCCAATTCATCTCTTCCTAAATTATCGTGTGCACTTGCGCAAACACGAAGCGCACATGTGAGAGTAATTTAATGGCCTATAGGCTGGAGGAAGAACAACACAAAAGTAAAAGAATAGAGGTCATTATAGATAACTCACAAGCATGAAGGTTGCTGCAAATAGTCTATGACCATTTGATCAATGCCCTTGAGACCATCAATGTTGTATTGTCCAGAAAACTGATTAAATAAAAAAAATCAAAAGGACGAGTAAATGTGTTAGTTATGAACTAGCAGAGTATAGAACTCCTGATATCAACTATCGTACCTGATTTGGTCGGGCACCTTGATATCCCTTTGAAGGGATGCTGCTAACTGATGAATTCAGCATATGGGCTGGAGCAGGGACACCACCCTGTCCCTCTAGCTTCAATTAGCAAAAATACAAAAATCAGAATGAGAATGAAGCAGAACGTATAGAATGTTTACTTAGATCCTTGTACATTACTTTTCACATTTAATTTAAAATGAGCAATATCAATACCCGTAATCTAGTGTTGTTGAAAACATAGATGCATTCAACGAAGTGGCATGCAATCTCATTGTGGTCCGTCACTGGCCTGAACATCATCACCAAGCTCATGATTACATCTTAATCAGAAATAGAACAAAAACATGCATTAAGAAATGAACCAACAGGACTTCTTTTTTGTGTGTGAATATATCATTGGAAATGTGTCCTACAAAAATATTACAACTTCTTGTTGTAGATGAACTCAGTAAACTAAACTAAACAAATGAACTAAAACCAAGGAAAAGATCAAACACTGAGAATGCATTGGAATAACTCTATCAGCAAAAATGGAGCGTTGAACTAACAAGAAAGCTCTTTCTACCAGAAACAATAATTCTGAAGAGAAACTAAACTTATGCCAAAAAAAAAAAAAATTCGAATAAAAAAAACCCAAACCAAAAAACCCACAATAGACACCCATACATGATCAATTTGAATCAAACTCGTGTTCCAAACAATTAGAATCATGTTAGACCAGCAAATAATTATTAATGTAACCAAAATCAACTAACAATTTTTTATAAAAAAATAAAAATAAAAAAATAAAAAACCTAAAAATTACCAATGATACCCACATACATAGAATAAAATATATATACACAATTTATACATGATTCAAGTTCATGATTCTTGAATGGAAATCAATAATAAATGCAAATGATTAATGACTCAGGAGTATACAACACAAAAATTAACAAAAAGTTCTCTAAAAAATCAACTAACAATTTGATATAAAAAAAACCCTAAAAATTAAAAACCCAATGCCCAGGTATACCCATATATATAGAATACACAATTTATAAATGATTCAAGTTCATGATTATTGAATGGAATTCAACAATAAACGCAAAAAGGAACAAAAAATTACTCTAAAAAATCAACCCAAAAGCAGTAAAAATCGCAAGCATTACGAATGAGGGTTTTCCAAAAATCTAACCTTGATTTGAGATGATTTAATCCACTCAAGGCAACCAAACTTTGCTTCGGCTATGTTTGCTACGGGTAGACGTTAAGACAGAGCGTTGAATACTCGCTACGGAGTAGAGGATGATAGAGAGCGCGAATAGGGTATAGGGAAGATAGAGCAGAGCGTCCGGCTTACCAAACCCGGACCTGGGTTCTGTTACTTTATTTGTTGCGGGTAACTTTGCAGGCCTCAAATAGATTCCTTTTTTTTTTTTTTTTTTTTTGGGTAAATCCGAAGCGCGATATTTTCCAGCTTCAACCCACTTAAAAACTTTTGGTAAAAAAGCAAATAAATAAATAAAAACTTTTTGAAAATATTTTTAATATTTTTTTCCTTTAAAATGTTTTATAAATTATTTAAATATATAAATAAACTACTTACTATATGTTATCATATTTAACTAAATCAACTTAATTAATAAAATAATTAAAAAAATTTAATTACAAGTAATTTTATTTTTTATAATATATATGTTTAAATTTAAGTTTTCTAAACATTTTACATTTTATATATGATTTTCAAACAAATAATCTTTTAAAATAAATGCAAAACTTATCAATTAATGGTATGAATTGTTATTATTGGGTATTTATGAATATTATATATTTATATATACACACATTCATATTAATGTTTCTACATTTGATTTTATTAATCTAATTTATATATTTAAGTAACAAATAACTATAAATTCTAATTATAGAGTGTGGGCCAACTCAGGGGGCACATGCCCCCCCTAGGCGTTCATTGGCTCTGTTCCTACTTGCTAATAAATTGATCAATTAGGGATAACTTTACTCAATGATCGATGATGGAGAAATTGGCGTGACTTGCTATAAAGTTGTAATTAATTGAAATATATATTTGTAAAGAACATTTGAAAAGTTTAATTATTAGCTATTACTCATAAATGTATTTATAGAGACTGTCACATTTAAAAAATTTAATTATTAATTATATAATGTATTTAATTAATATATAATTTATGTTTTAACATTGGCCATTATGCAAAAAATAAGAAAAACAAAATTCAAAATTTATCTAAAGTAAAAACATTTTGTTAGAAAAGTTATAAATATTTAAATTTCATTCAAAAAAAAAAAAAAAAAAAACAATTTTTTTAGTTTACGACATTAAATTCCATGATATCACTCAAAGTGGATGGTGAGGGTTCGAGTACCAAAAGAGGCAAAGTGAGTGTAAGTAATGTGTGTTTATTTTGCCAATGAAAAAATAAATACTAACAATTACTAATAAATGTATTTGGCAATCACATTAAACTAATTAAGGTGGTATTTGTCCATTCCTTTAAATAATCTATTTTGCATTTTTTGGAATATTAATCAACCCTCAAAATAAATCAACATGATGAAAATTAATTGAAAAAAATTAAAAAAAAATTCAACCAAAAAGAACAATGTGTGATTATATATATATATTTATTTATTTACGAGTGTATTTGCGTGATACATTGGTTCCTGTTTAAATTAGATTTATATATATGGTTTTAGGGGCATAGCCTTACCAAGGTATATGCATCCATAAGTATGGTGGTAGGTGGAGAGGGGGGAGAGGGGGGTGGTGGTAGGAGGTTGAGAGAGAGGGGTGATGGCCATCGTTAGAGGGTGGAGGTGTAAGAGGTAGAGATGGCCATCGTTAGAGCTATAGAGAAATTATTTTATTTTTTATATCAATTAGTAAATATTTTTTATATTAATAATTCTTGTCTAATTAGATTTTCTTTTATTAAAAAACTCATAATAAATAGATAAATAGGTAATTTGTGTTAGAGTTTTATAAAAATTCTTTAAAAAACTCTTTTTATATCAATTAATAAATATTTTTTTCTATTAAAAAAATTCTTTTATATTTTTTTATATTAATAATTCTTGTCTAATTAGATTTTCTTTTATTAAAAAACTCATAATAAATGGATAAATAGGTAATTTATATTAATTAATAAACATTTTTTATATTAATTAATAAATAATGAAATACTGAAACATTGAAATACTAAAACACTGAAACTCTTTATACTTTTTATAAAATAATAGTGTTTGCGACGTTGATATCGCTCTTAAAATTTTCAATATTTAAACCTTAGTCAATTACATGCCTCCACTGAGGTTTGAACACCTGACCTCCTTTTGGAAAGTATAGGTCTAGTACCGTTAGGCCACAGGCCTGTTAGTATTTTTTAATATTTTTATTAACTAACAATAGTTATTTATTAAAATATTTAAGGTACAGGTCATTTTAGATTGAGAATTAATAAAACATTTAGTAATTATATATTCATATTTTTCTTTATATTTTTCTTATATCAACATTTTTACAAATTAATTAAGCTTGAAACAATAAATGACTAATTTGTCTATCTTGCCATTAATGATATTTTTGCCGAGTCATTAATTAGTTGACATGTTATTTTACAAAAAATTTAGAAGTCATCTCTCTAAGAGACTTAAAAAGTACAAGCAAGTACGATTCTTACCAAAATTTGTCCTTTTGCGACCATAAGTTATTTTGGTCGTTAATACCTTCTCCAATTGTGACCAAACTTTGCTTATTTTGCAACCATAAAATTTGGTTGTAAAAGACCAATTCTTTCGCAACCATAATTTAGTTTAGTTGTTAATACTTTCACCAATTGCGACCAAACTTTGATTATTTTGCAACCATAAAATTTGGTCGTAAAAGACCAATTCTTTCGCAACCATAATTTAGTTTGGTCGTTAATACTTTCACCAGTTGCGACCAAACTTTGATCATTTTGCAACCATAAAATTTTGTTGTAAAAGACAAATTCTTTTGCGACCATAAATTATTTTGGTCGTTAATACTTTGACCAATTGCGACCAAACTTTGATCATTTTGCAACCGTAAAATTTGGTCGTAAAAGATCAATTCTTTTACGACCATAAATTATTTTGGTCGTTAATACTTTGACCAATTGCGACTAAACTTTGATCATTTTGCAACCATAAAATTTGGTCGTAAAAGAACAATTCTTTCACGACCATAATTTATTTTGGTCGTTAATACGTTAACCAATTGCGACCAAACTTTGATCATTTTGCAACCATAAAATTTAGTCGTAGAAGAATAATCCTTTTGCGACCATAATTTATTTTGGTCGTTAATGTACTTATCAATTCCGACCAAAATTTACTTTAGTCGCTAATATATTAACTTTTACGACCAACTCATTTTGGTCGCAAATACGACAGTATTTGCGACTTTTTCAGTTTGGTCGCAAATAATTTGGTCGCAAAAGACCAAGTTTGTTGTAGGGGGCATTACCATGAGTGGCTAGACACCCTCTTGGAGCTAGAGTTAGCCCCAAGCATGCTTTCTATATCTTGATTTTGTGTATTATTGAGATTAGTGTTGTAATACATGTTTTGGCACTTTTATATATATAGATCCTGTTTATTCAATGATTTATGTGGTTTAATACTTCCAATTGATCATTTCATTCTATCCATATATCTATGTATGCTAGAATAGATGTTCATGTGTTTGTCTCTATTTCTTATGTTATTGATGCATGTCTATGTGTATTAATGCCATAGATCTAGAGATTGTCAAAACATAGTGCTTAATGGAATGCTTTTGTAATTTTCTTGATGGTTCATGCTCATTTCTTGATGGATTATGCCTCTCCCTTAGCTTAATTAGTTTAATTTCATGTCATTAGCTTAATTGTAGTGTAGTGGTAGTTTAGTTGTTAGATGGGAGGACAATCCGTACTTGTTGTTTGATGTTCCATACTTTTGAATGCAAGTAGTATATGTCTCTAACCTTGTGGTGTATTTGGCTTGTGAGCTTAAAGAAATGATTAATGACTTGTTAGATATATTATGCTTTTCACATGCTACATAGACAATTTCACATGTTGTTTAGATAATATATACTTAATCGGTCATCCTTGCTAATTGAATCAATCAAACACACACACACAACAATATTACAACACACATTTCCCTTATTAGTCACTTGTTAAGGGTGTAAAAAAGTATTATTTGGTGGTGAACTCTAAACCCCAAGATCTCTCTCTCTTACTTACTCTTTATTGTATTCAATTATTTAGTTTAATTTGTTCTCTAGTTTAATAACCAACCAACTATTTGTTTGATCACTCGACCTACTAACCCTAATTATGATTCCTCAAGCTAGTACGACAACTCAATCCCTTGGGACGATCCCTACTCACCATAACTATATTTTTAGTGAAAGAAGTAGTGGTTTTTATAAATGTAAAACTTGGCCCTCGCCTTAATGCACATTCTTAAGCTTGTGGTGGGACGGCGAACCACCAATGGCCTCATACATGTCAATTTTAAGAATTTCATGTTAAACCTCCAAAATTGGTTTAAATACATTTTTGAAGCGAAATTTGGTACCAAATGAATACAAGTACTAAAGTAAACATGCTTGACCTTTAATCTCATTATATACATACTTATAGAGTCAGAAATAAGTACTTAAGTATCATTACACATCAAGGAAGCTACATTAGCTTTTAAAGCACCATACACCCATGGTTTACAAAATATAACTTCAAAAGTAAAGCATGCTAAACAATTGCATGTCAATATACAAAAATGTTTCAAATTGCTCATAAGCTCCTAAGGATGGTGAGCATCCAAGAACATAATCTCCTTACCTATAAAACAACCCAAACCACTAGGGTGAGTAATCAAGTTACTCGTAGGAAGAAGCATATGCGTATACCCTAAAGTTTCAATATCATTGCAAGATCAATATAGATGAATACAAGGGATCATTCCACTTAACGTCTATGTTCAAGGTGTTCTTGTTGGGATTTATGTGCCCTGGTATAGCAAATTCCTATTTGGATTATAGTGGCATATGTTCCTAACGTTTCTGAAATATTTGTGCTTTATACAATTGGTGAATTCAATGTATTATGTTTCGATGCATTATGGAATTGATAGTGTCTATTTGATTATAAGAGATATTTATATATATATGTGATGACGATTAATAGATGAATATAAATAGTAATCATAAATTGTTCAAAGTTGGTAATTATGGATGGACTCATAATTAATTAAGACTTGAACTGGATCCGTGTTAGGTTGAGATATATTGCGAGAGCTGTCGTATGCAATTGCTCCCTATCACCGTCATGGCATTTGACTCTTAAGCATAAGATAAATATGAACTCTTTTATTAATTAGTAAT